CAAAAAAAAAAAAAAAAAAAAAACTAATTGTGGTGATGGTTGAATGATCTTGTGAATATACCAAAGCCAACCCTTTAAATGAATGAGTTGTATAGTATGTGAATTATACCTCAATAAAGCTATTACAAAACAAACAAATTTAATGTTTTGAATCAAGCTTAAATTTACAGCCTCACTTTTTTTAATTTAAAAAGCTGTTTGTTTAAATATTAGCAATATCATGGCAAATGCTGTATAATAGTTCGCAGCATTCATTTTAACAGAGGAAGAAATGTAGATATATTGTATTAACAAAATTAAAATAGAGTCAGGAGATAAAGTAGTAACCATTAATTTTTCTTTAGGCAATTACTGCAGTGATGTTTTATTTACCTATATCCAGAAGAGACTGGAACAGTATATAAAAACTAAGAAAAATTACGTTTGCTTGGGAAATTTTCTTTAAACAGCTCCTTTTGATTTATTCAACCAAAATATGCCACGGCCAAGAAACTAAAGTCACAGCAATGGAAACAGCTTAAGTTAAACATAATAAATGAATAGTATTCTATTGCCAAGTGTTGGAGTGCTGAGATTGGCTACTAGTATTTGACTGCCATTTACTATTAATAATAGTAATCTAGGCCTTCTACTGTTTTTTTTTTTTTGGTTTTTTTATTTTGCTTTGTTTTGTTTTCATTGCCAATTCTGAAAAATAATTTTGGATAATTATGGTGCTCCCTAAATATTAAGGGGCATTTGCTTGTATATCAAGCACAAGGCTGGTAAAGATAATAAATGATGGTGAATATTCACTCTAATTATAAGATTTCCCTAAACTACCTCTGGCAGCATATGTGTCTAATATAAATATAATAACACAACAAAATATTTCCCATTATCTTTTCAATAAATATAAACATATTAAAAACTGCCTGAAATTTATAATTTTACCTTTCTACTAAAATCCTTTCCTCGACTTGAAGAAACTAGCAAAATCTATCTCCCTCTATGTCCCTAGAGGTTACAGAAAGTCTCTATGACTCCATTTTCCACTCCTAGAAACGACAGGCTAACTTCACCACTCTGATAAACTGAATAAAAATGTTTTACACTTCTAATTAAAAACTTTGTTCAGTTTTCTGATTAAATGTTGATTTTCAAAAGGCTGTTTTGGAAGACACATGTGTCTGTTAGAAACTGAATTCTAGTAACTGATACTTTTTTGTAAGTAACCATAAGTCTGATTTAACTCACTAATGCAATCAGAGATGCTTATATGTGTGGTAGATACTGAGATGATGAAGAATGTCAATTATTAGTTTATACTGGCCCCAGATAAAGAAAATACTGCTCTGAACTTAAGAGGGGCAATACTTGAGTTTTCCTTTAAAAACAAAAAAGTTGCAGATGAAAAGGACATAAGGAGGTTATAGGAGAAGGTATCTTCTCATTGGAAAAGGCAGTCATTAAAGAATTAAGCTGTTGCTCTGGTCAACAACTATATTATTTGTTTCTTTTGGTTCCAGGTACCTGTGAGAAAAGAGGAAAGTAACAGAAGAGGCAACCTATTCATGGTGATAACTTTGAGGGCAGAACAAACTATCAGCAAAGGCAAGTTAAACTTGGTGTAAGAGTAGACAATTATGTCTAGTTCCCCAGGAGTGGGAAAGTCACAGGCTGCAGCTGAACTTTGACACCTGGAAAACTCAGCCAAGCAACAAAGTCATGAATATGCCCAGGGAAAGTTCTGACTCAGTTAAAAGCAGAGCAAGCTGTAAAAAGTGTTCTGCTCAAACTGAAGTATAATGTCAAGGTCATAATAATTAATGATTAAATAAACTAAGAAATCTAGGTGTTTGGTTCTTTAAAATTACTTAATATTTTGTTGTAATGTTTTAATCGAATTTCACTTTTGTGAAAACAAGAAAACTGAGGATAATTTAGTTGTAGAATGTGCTAATCTCCTTATTCAATACATCAAATCTCTAAGATTAACTGAAGAGATGACTGAGCCCTAACCAAGGGGCTCTAATGGCTGACAGATAATGTTCCTAAGAAGTCCTAAGTGCTAACTTAAATCTATCAAGTGGAAATGCATCTTAGACACTAAAGAAATATTTGCATTTCTGCCAATATTCTAAATCACTTTGATTTTCCTTAAAATTAATAAACTATAGTACTTGCCAACAAAAGGAGTAACGATGTAAAAGATTGTAACATGCAAATCCACAGATCTCGGTACAGCAAAGAGTGAAATATATTAATGAAATTTTTGCACACAAATGTATTACAACCATGAAATCTTATTGGAATAATTTCAAAAAAATCTTTTACTTTATGAAATAAATGCCAAAAGATCAGGCTGTAAAAGTCCTATTTAAAACCTCTGGGCAGGTCTGATGGTAGTGGGTTATCAGAACTTATTATTAATAACATTATTGTCATTAAAATTGGTATACAATCCCCTACTAAATTTGACTGGCTTTTAAAAAATAAAACAAAAAATGAAAAATATGAAGGGCAGAATTTTGCCTATTAATAAACTTAAGTGTAATAAAAATCACCATTACTGATATTTCTCACTAAAATCTATATCATATCTATTTGATATAGAATTAGATTGCAATGCTCTCACTTCATTTTATTCTTGGAGAGGTTGATAATGTAGCCACCTAAAGAAATCCATGACTTTGCAACATAGAGAAATGCACATACTTTCCTCTGGATCTTCACTGGCTGGGATGCTGTTGGAAATTTCCTGGACAGCAGCTCGTGACTCAGATGTAGAGCGATGCGGCCCTAGTTGACTGTCCCTTTGGGCTTCCCACTCTTCACTGAAGCCACCATCGTCATTCTCTGCAACAGCATCTTGTGACTCCCTTTCTGTACCTTCAAGAGAAAGTGGAAATTACACTCTAATACTTAGAAAAATTTCTTAATACCTTTAAGAAAATTACACAGACACAGTAACTACCTGTCATTGTATTAATAACTAGGTTAGCTGGCTGTTAAACCACAAAGCTGTGGGCTGTAGTAGTGTCTGCTGGTGGCTTTTCCAATCACCATTTTCCTCCTTATTTCCTGAGGGCAGAATCTTGATTCATTTGGGTTTCCACCCCTCAACCACATGACTCTGGTGGTAAATCTTGACCAACCCATTCTTCTTCCCAATGAAAGCTCTAAGGCTGTGGGGTTGTGACTCACTATGAGCCAATGAGTGGTAAGGAAAGGTCTGCTGGGAATTTGGGGGAAATTTTCTCACTCTTTAAGAGAGATTCAAGGAAGAAACAAACACTTTCTTGCCCTGGATGTTGTCTTATCTGGCTGTATATGATGCCTGGCACGACAGTGGTGACCATTAGAAGCAGTGAGGCTGAGGACCAAGCCTATATGCTAAAGATGGCAGAGTAGGAAGACGGAAAGAACCTGGGCTCTTGATAACATCAATGAGCTATAAAATAAACTCTATAAATGCCTTGGGACTTCTCATCACATGGGAGAATACATTTCATTCTTTGTTTAAGGCAACTGAGCTGAGTTTTTCTGTTCTTTGCAGCTAAAAGTTTCCTAACTATTAGCATATACCACTGGCTTGAGTGACTGAGTTATAAAAGTGGATTCATTATGGCAGGGGAAGGGAGAAAGGAAGAGAAGTGAATTGCTTTATAGGCTAGTCGCTTTGTTGTAATGCCTGTCAATCTGATTCAAAATGGTGAGCATGACAGTCTGGAGAAACTTCCATACATTAAAAATAGTTAAAATATTAATACATAAGCAAAACTTTTTTGCTTCCTTTATTTTTTATAAAAGTAATACATGTTTATAGCAGAAGTACATTTACTGTGAATAAGTAAGTGAAGCTTGTACACGTCACGGCTCTTACTTGAATAGACTTCCTCTGGGACAGCCCTAGCAATTTTGTATTGGTAGTTTTGTATTCTTTTTCTTAACCAAGTCTCCACAAAGCCCAAATCTTCCCTGGTTCAGAGTTTATAAAATCATCTAAGAACAAGACTCACAAATAAAAACAGCAGCCCCTGTTCGGCCCCATCCCTCCTCATTCCTGATCCTCATTCCTCCTTTCAACTCTTAGCTGTTTCTTTTGGTATTTACCTCCATAATTAATTATAAATAGCATGCTCATCGTGCTCTGTCTTGATATTTTAATTTAGATATTTACTCATTTCCTAGAGGGAAGATGAAGCATTGGCTCTCATCCTCTTATGCATGCATACTCATTAACTCCTCCCATCTTCCCAATGTCATCGTTTTGTTAAATTCAGCTTTATTAATAAGATTATCACTATGAATATAGTATTCACAACTAAACTATTTTGCTACAGCCAGAATATAATTACATTTGCTTTTTTGAACAACTTTTTGTTTTCTCTGGATAACTGCCTCATTTTTTCCCTTGATGGATTCTCTATGTAATAACTATGACTAATTTATCCTCAAACTCTCTGACAGTTCAAACACATCAGGTAATCTCTCCATTCTATTATTTTTTTTCCCTTGCACAGACATCCCTGTTGGAACCCTATGTTTTTTTGTTCCAATCTAACTTCTAGTTTCACTAATACAGTGGTTTTCGTCTAGGGATGGCACTAGGGGGTGTTTGGAAATAACTAGTATGGAGGAGGTTTTGGTTATCACAAGGCCTTGGAGCCACTATTGGCCTTCAGTGGGTGACGGGCCAGGGATTCTAAGTATCTTGCAATGTGAGGTGAAGTCCCACACAATGAAGAACTGTCCCACCTAAAACACCAGCAGCACTCTCACTGAGGAACTCTGCTGTTCATCCTGCCTTCTCACTTCAAAGCCTTCACCCATGAGTTTCCTCTTCTGAAAAGCTCTTCGTCCACTGCTATTATCACTTCCTCAGGGAAGCCTTCCTTGACTTTCCAGAATACTTAAAATTTCCCTACTATAAACTTAATTATTTATGTAATAATATGTTGAATGTCTATCTCCCCAAATATATTATAAGCTCCACAAGGGCAGGGCATGTCTTGTTCAGTACTATATCCCCACTGCCTGGCAAAGTACTGGACACACAGGTGCTCAACCAACATTTGTCAAAAGAATAAAATCTTGACGTGCTAAATACACACTCATGCTCATATACCTATAAATTCACAGACAAATGACCTTTTAATTTTCTTTAGCTGAACACAGGTTAACACAATAACCAGGCTTGTAGCAATTGTTTCCAATACATTTCCTATTTTTCTACTAGGTCTACTACTGGTCTAACTCCACCTTGTTCTGTTTCCTTGCTCACTGCAGGATGAAGCCTGATATCTCTGGGTCCCAAATATGAATTCCCAACTCAAAGTATCCTCCCTGAAGTTATCCAAACGCTAACCCTGCAGTTTTCTTGGTTCTACAAAACCTCAACTCTCCCTTTCCTGACAAACAGCAACTCAAGACCTTTTTCCTCACCAATCTTTATTTTTCCTGTTTTTCAGCTTCCTCATAAGGTTAGCCCTTTGTTTTGCTTTAAAATTTTTCCTTTCTTTACCATTTATATTATGTTGTTATTCCTCAACTCTTTCTAATAACAACTTCTAATTTGTGTTCTTAATATCTTCTGTAGTAGCTACAGTGGGCCTTTCACTCTTCTATCCTAAGCCATTATTATTCTCTTCCAGAAAGTCATATCCACTGGAATATTTGAGCTTCTCAGTATAAACATTACCACATCTCAAATCAAATTATAGTTAAGTTACTCTGGCCATGTTAGATAAGGGGCTATCATTTTTACATGTTTGGAGAGCTTATTTTTTCTTTAAAAAATCATAGCCTTGACTTGAACCTTTCCATACTCATATCAGGTATTCAATGGCAGAAATCTGAACCTAGGGTGCCTTGACTGTACTGTTGGGTCTGGAGTATCTGAACTCCTTAAATATTAATCTGTGTACTTACTGGGCATTACCACATCTTTCAAGAAATTCTCAAAGGAGTCCATGACCAAAGAAAGAGGTTAAAAATCACTAATTGCCTCATAACCCACTGTTAGCCTGTAAGATGACAATGATCATGAAAAAACAGGATATTTCCAAATAAAAGTCACCTACTTTGTGCTTTATATTTAGTGTTTTTAGATACCCTCCTTTGGGCTTCTGGGTCTCCTTCTGCCATATTCACCAACCACACCATTGTTGCTGTTGAGAAAGACAAAATTCCAGGTAAGCACCGGAAACATGGAAGGAAAGTATATGAATAGACAGCAGTAGACAGTTACTTTTCTATACAAATCACTAATCTTCTTATTGCTGCTTTAAGAATCCTTAACAATCAGAAATAAATGTATGCTAAAAAAAATGATTCTCTTTAATTTTAGCAGATAAAAAAAATTCTGAAATTGAATGTTTAGTGTTGTGTTCAAACTGTAGCTGCTACCACAAAACTGTTCATCATTGTTTACAGTCCCTGAAAAGTAGTCAGAAGGAAAACCATTCAGGCTAGCAAAATACCACTGGAATAATAGCTGGACTAGTTGAATGTCCTAAAATAGTGTGACCTCACTGATAAAAATTATTTATTGGAATTAAATTCAAGGACACACTGGGGTTCACAAAAGCCTTGGAAGAAGATTATAATTCTAAAGATGCATGAAGGAAATTTCCTTCATATTATGTCTCACTTTTGGAATGTTCAATAATCCTAAACCATGTTTTAAATGTGGAGAAGGAAAAAAACAGTTAAAAGCAATAAACATAAAGGGGACTATCAACTGGCCTTTCTATGTCCCTTATATTGAAATAACATATATATCTACATAGATCTAGACACATATCTCTAACACATCTTAGTTAATAGATAATGTGTTATTTATTGATTGACTGATTGACAGAGTCTCACTCTGATGCCCGGGCTACACTGCCGTGGTGTCAGCCTAGCTCACAGCAACCTCAAACTCCAGGGCTCAAGCAATCCTTCTGCCTCAGCCTCCAGAGGAGCTGGGACTAGAGGTATGCGCCACCATGCCCGGCTAATTTTTTCTATATATTTTTAGTTGTCTGACTAATTACTTTCTATTTTTAGTAGAGATGGGGTCTCGCTCTTGCTCAGGCTGGTTTTGAACTCCTGACCTTGAGTGATCCTCCCACCTCGGCCTCCCAAAGTGCTAGGATTACAGGTGTGAGCCACTGTGCCTGGCCCAATGTGAATACTTTAAAATGATGCTTCTTTCTCCTATATATTTCAGGTAGGAATGAAAAATGGAATAATCCCTATTACAGGGGAATCTGATAACATCTAACAAAACTACCTGTGCATTAAACCTTCAACCCAGCAATACCACTTTTGGGAATTTATCCTGAAGATACACAACAATAATATAAAAACACATATAACACATATGAGCCATATGGAGCTATAGTAGCAAGCAATTGCCAGCAGCAACTTCAGTCCAATCTGGTTACAGTAAGCAATTTTAAACAAGATACTTGGCATCTGTGTCTGTCTGGTTTTTTATCACTGTAATTGTATAGTTATACCCATGTTCCTAACGCTCTTAGGTTTCTTGAAGAAATACACAGCCAAAGAGGCTGAAATTCTGTAATTCACCATGGCCTTGTAATTTTTGAAGTCAAACAAGTTTCATTATATGATAACCCAACTAACTGATCAAAAGTCAACATAAGCCAGGCAGGAAATATACTGTTTAACTAGATCCAAAGAAGAAAAACAGAAGGGCAACCACTATATACACTGTTCGCACACTTCTATACCGTTTTTGGCAATGAAGGCAGCAGGTATTTATTTTCCTTTCTTCATGCAAGTATGAACAAATATAGTTACAAACCTTTCTGTTTTAGCATTGACTATTACTGTGAAAATAAAGGATCAGATAACTTTTTCTGTAAAGTGCCAGAGATTAAACAATGCAGGCTTTGTGAGCCACATATTCTTCCTTGTTCTTTTAAACAACCTTTTAAAAATGTAAAAACCATTCTTAGCTTCCCAGCTGTACAAAAATAGGCCATGCGGCCAGGCACAGTGGCTCAAGCTTGTAATCCTAACACTTTGGGAGGCCAAAGTGGGATGATTACTTGAGGTCAGGAGTTGGAGACCAGCCTAGTAAGATCTCATCTCTATAAAAAATTAGCTGGGTGTGGTGGTGCATGCCTGTAGTCCAGCTATTTCGGAGGCTGAGGCAGGAGGATTGCTTGAGCCTAGGAGTTGGAGGCTGCAGTGAGCTATGATGACACTACTGCACCCCGTCCTGGGCAAAAATCAGACCTTGTCTCCAAAAAACCAAACCAAAACAAAACAAAACCAGGCCATGGACCACATTTGGCTGTAGGCAGTAGTTTGGTGTCCCCTGATGTGATTATCGTAAATTATATATTTGTTGAATGAATTAATAATACTAAAATAATATCCAATAAACCACTTTTCTATCACCAAACATCTTAGCTCAATAGGAAAATATGCAGTTTTAAAAATTTACATAATATAAAACCCCACGAACTGATATGAAATCAAAGGAAAGTTTTACATAAAATGATCTATCTCAAGGAATTGTTAGCTTCATTTTTAGATAAGCTTCCTGAGTGGACCATCTCTACTAATGACTGTAAGGGAAGAATGAGTTAGTTCAAAGAGTAGGTGTACACTTTTCCTGTCAGATGATAGGAATAAAAAACAAAATTGCTCATATATTTCCTGAGGATAAGAGCCTTTTGAAAACTGAATATCCTTAACTGAGAGAGACTACAAAAGCACATGGAAGGACTGTATTTTTAAAGAATAAATAAGACTGACTTTCATATTCATGTTTACATCCACTTCAGGGGAAAAGTATTGATTAGTGTTACCGTTTTCTTACATTCTGTTAAAACACTAATCAGTACTTTTTCCCTGAAGTGGATATAAACATGAGAATTTTGTATACACAGACACATCCACACATATACAGCCCCCTTCCCCACTGTCTCCCAAAGGATACTGCATATACTGCTTTAAATCCTGCTTTTATATTTAATATATATAATTTTGGACATTTAAAAAATAGTTGGACATATACAGAGCACTCCATTCTTTTTGATGGCTGCACAATGATCCACTGTATGAATGTGCCATAATTATTTTAAAGTGCCCCCTTCTGATGGACACTCAGGTTACCTCAAGTTTTTCCCTAATACAAGCATTGTTTCAGTGAACATATTTCCATACTTCTGCAAGTATATTCCCTTAGTCTAAATTTCTAGCATTAACTATTAACATTTCATGGAACATTTTGTGTGCACAAATATAAATTACATAAAATGTTGATGCTCAAAACTTCATCTGCTCTTTTCTGCCAATAAACACAGTAAGCACTTGATAATAGATTTATGTTGGAGATAGAGTAAAAGATCCTTGCGTTCCAGACAGCTGTTCTAAAACTTAACCAAACTTCTCCAACTATGGGCATAACCCCCATATCTCTTCCACTTTCCACAAATGACTAACATCAGGTTTACCAGAAAGACTGAGGTCAACTAACATGGGCTCCCAAATTTACCTCCTTCAATATTTCACTATACTTCACTCTCTTCTGCTTTTCTGTCTTCCTTTTTCTTCCTTCCAGGTATTTCCCTGTTCTAGGCCTAACTCCTCTTCCTGAACTTTTAGAGCAGTTTCTACTTGCTTTGTAGATAACCTTGCTCTGCCTGTAAGATTTTCTTTTCTTTTTTTTTTTTTTTGAGACAAGGTCTTGCTCTGTTGTCCAGGCTAGAGTGCAGTGGTGTGGTCATAGCTCACTGCAGGTTTAAACTCCTGGGGTCAAGTGGTCCTCCTGCCTCAGCCTCTGGAATAGCTGGGATTACAGGGCCAGGCTACCACGCTTGGCTAATTTTTTTAACTTTTATTTTTTTTGTAGAGACAGGGTCTCGCTATCTTGCTCAGGTTGCTCTCAAACTCCCCGGCCTCAAGCAATCCTGCTTCGGCCTTCCAGAGTGCTGGGATTACAGGTGTGAGCCACCAGGCCCGGCTGAGACGGCAATTTTTGACATAGTGGGTGGTATTTATTATACCTCTCCTTCACCATCTGTTCTCTGCCTACACCATCACTTCCATTGCCAGCACCAACAAAACACAGATACACACACACCTTCTTCCCTTTGGAATACTGTTTCTGGTCCTATCATTTTACAGAAATTGCTCTCTTCAATGTCACAATGATGTCTTAGGCACCAAATCCTGTGTGGTTTACTTAGTCCTCATTATCTTTGATGACTTTTTCTTTTTTAAATAAACAGGGTCTCACTCTGTCACCTAGGCTGGAGTGTAGTGGCGTGATCAAAGCTCACTGAAGCCTCCAACTGCTGGGCTCAAGTGATCCTCCTTGCCTCAGCCTCCCACAGTGTTGGGATTCCAGGTGTGAAACACCCATGCCTGGCCTCTCTTCTACTTTTATTTGAATCACTCACGCACTCCCAGAGCTTAACTATCACCTCTATGCTGATGTTCTTCAACTTTGCATCTCTAATATCAACCTTTTTCCAACCACTAGTACTTCACTTCTAAACTCCTGCTGGAAATTTCTACCTGAATGGCCCACAAGTACCATAAACTAAATTAGATATGGACCACAAAATACATACAACGAAACAGATCCCTCAAAGAAGAAAACATTTCTTCTTCATCACCTTTCCTTCAGGCTTAAAACTTCTAATCTCAGTTGCTAAGAACTACTGATTCTCCTTCTGAAATCTCTCATTAAGCCCTTCTCTTGATTGCTACTGCCAATGCCATAACTCAAACTCTATCTTCCACCTAGATCATGGCAATATCATCTTAGTATGCTTCCCATGATCTCAGCATCCACCCTCTCCAATTCATCTTACACAACGCTGCCGGCTTGCAAAGGCACGGCTCTGATCACATTTTCTTCTGCTCGAGAACCTTCTGATTTCCCAGGGATCACGGAACAGCACACAGATACCGAAACCAATCACTCCTTAGTATCCTTGATCTTGCCCTAATCTGCCTTTTCAAACTCAACTCCTAGTATTCTCCCCACTTCATACTCCATGTTCTAGTCAAATTGAATACATGAAATTTGATAAAGATGCTTCACACTTTACAACTTCAAGCCATTTTTTGTGATGAGCTCACTTTTAGAATCAACTCTTCCATCTCTACTTATGAAATCCCATCCACCCTTAAACGTTTCAAACTAAATGCTGCCTCTTCCACCAAGCATTCCCTGACTCCCCAGCCATATTTTCCCTTTTTTGAACTCTCTCTGCACTCTGATTGTACCTCTTGTAAATATGATAACACTCTGCCTCAGATGTTGCTTTTTTATATACATCTCTTACCTCACCTCTGAATTGTAAGCAAATGAGCTCTGAGAGAAGGCAAAGTATCTTAACCATCTTTTTGGTTTTCCACAGCACAGATAAGGTTGATGCTCAATCAATATTTACTGAATGATTAGGAAGGGTATAACTCTAAAACAAAAAAAGGTAAACACATTCTGAAGGAAGAGCACAATTCTTTCAATAAGCTAGGGTAAGATTCACCTGTAATATATATGTATACATAAATGTTCGCTAACTCTTGACTAACAAGTTTTTAAATGGAAATACTGGCTCTCCGACCTCTAAATATTTCCTTTCTTTCTACTCATATTGAATCAACATCAGGTAAAAGACAATGAATGGTTTGCAACAAAAAGAGATCTGCAGGAGTTCCATTAATGCTGTGCATTTAAGATGAGAAAAAAGTACCATGATAATGACCATAAGTACATGTGTTAGAGTTCCTATAAATTCTAAGCTGATTACTAATTCAGTATCATTCTCAGTACTTACAGGAGTAAATGAGAGCTGGAAATAGAGTTTCATTTCTCTCCTGAGCTGTTTCAACCAGCATACGGAGTGGACCTTTTGGACACAAAACAGCCACTAAATCTAGAAAGAGAAAAATACAAAAGGCTTTTGATAAAATGCATGGGCTAAATTTGTAAATGGGTGTGTTAGGGAGGAATTGACCAAAGGAAAAGGTTTAATTTTTTGTTTTCATTTACACAAAAGATATTGAATGAATATGAAATAAATAGCAGGTAAACTGGTGGAGGAAAAACAACCTAAATAAAATAAACAAAACCAAACAGAAGCTCTCTAACAATTTCATTTTGGGTTTGACTGCTATTTGCTTAGTCTACAGTGTATCATTGCTGGATTCTAGGAATAAGTCTTCCCAGTTTGAAGGAAAGAGGCAGAGATAACAAGACATACTATTCTAGGGCAGTTGTCAATCCACAACAAGCAGAAATGAGGACAAGTCACTCCCAAACAAATCACAGCTATGAGCTACAAATACAAGTTCTACTCCGAGAGGAATTTAATAGAGGGGATTTGACTGAACTTGTCAAAATATGAAGAGTACAATAGAAAAGATTCATCCTTTCTCCTTTTTAAAAATAGTATTATGTAGATAATTGAAATAAGAGGACAATAAACTTAAATAAAACAAAATAATTAACAACTCTTTGCATGATAAAGTTTAGAATTTCTTTAGTCTCCAGGCAAATAAAAGCACTTTACAAACATTCAGGTCTCAGAACACATGTGGTACTAAAAAGTGGCTTATTTTACAAAAATAGTAATTCAGAGAGGAAGCAATATGCCTAAATTTTTCCTGATTACACCATTACTTCTTTTCATCAACTGCGATTTTTCTTTCATTTTCTATGTCATGAAAATTCAGAATATAGAAATATAAAAATAATTTTAAACATTTAAAAATATAGAACAGGTATAGCTAAATTTGTAAAGGAAAAATTGATAGCTTGTGTTGACATTATTGTCATTTAAATGCATTTAAATAAAAAAACTTCATGCCTTGAAGTGGTCCAGTCTCCTTGCATAACAGTGTAAAACATAGTACAGTAATAAAACACACACACACATACGCACACAAATCTCTATTCCCGCCATTCACATTTCAATTTGTTTGAATAAGAAAAGGGAAATATTGTCTTGCTCCAAAATAATAGGATTTTCAGCTTGTTTGAAGCTGCCACATCCTGTAACTATTTTGGTTTTATGACGTGTTCTCCCTAATAGAATTGCTAAATTATAAACTCACTTATATTTTAAAGTAATTGAAGTGAATTAAAATTAATTTTGCTTTGAAAATTCCCAAAACAATCTTTGTAACAAATTACAGCATCTTGAGACCTTATAAAAACGAAGTTGAGAATCACTACTCTAAATATTGGATATAAAAACCTCTTAATTTAAAGGAACTCAAAGCTCTATAGAAATAATCATTTGTATTATGTGCAGACAAAATAGAGGGTTGATGGCAGAAATAGTGTAATATGGTGGAAAGAATACTGGACTTGGGAATTCAGACTCTAGACAAACAGTTTATGCTTAGGCAAATAATTCACCTCTAAAAAACTCCAAGTTTCTTAGCAGTAAAATAGGGATAACTGCCTTCATTACTTCACAGAATTATATAAAAAATAACAACTACCATTTACTGACAGATACTGCTCTAAGAGTATTAGTGTATCATACGTAACACGTAATTTAATCTACTAAGACTTAGAGGCTGAGTATCCTGTATGTGGTCAAACAGCCAGTAAGTGATGAGTAGAAGAGTCTAGATTTGAACCCAGGTATTCTGTCTCCAGAACTGGCATTCTTTTTTTTTTTTGAGACAGAGTCTCACTGTGTTGCCCGGGCTAGAGTGCCGTGGCATCATCTTAGCTCACAGCAACCTCAAACTCCTGGGCTCAAGCGATCCTCCTGCCTCAGCCTCCCGAGTAGCTGGGACTATAGGCATGCGCCACCATGCCCGGCTAGTTTTTTCTACATATTTTTAGTTGTCCAATTAATTTCTTTGTATTTTTAGTAGAGACGGGGTCTCGCTCTTGCTCAGGCTGGTTTCGAACTCCTGAGCTCAAACAATTCGCCCGCCTCAGCCTCCTAGAGAGCTAGGATTACAGGCGTGAGCCACCGTGCCTGGCCCAGAACTGGCATTCTTAATCACAGCTAAGCAATAAGAGATGAGTACTTTGCAAACCATCAAGTATTTTATAACATACAGTCATTATGAAGTCAGGCACAGCAAGTATATGAATTCTATAGTTCCATGACAGATTATTCAAATACAAGAACAGAACCAGTTCAATACTATTTCCACAGACTGTTTCTTCGTTAATCAAATGGGGATGACGAGGTTTCCTGGTACAGGCCACCAGACATTTTAATAAGCCTTGAACAGTGATAAAAGAGTATGGCCTTATAATACAGAAACTACATACTGACCTCTGAAATCGGATCTCTTTTGGCTTTCATGCAGGGCAACAGCCACAGAGTATGTACCTGTACAGCTGCTTCAGTTATTTATGCCGGGGTACACTTTGACTGTTCAGGATTCATGTCACACTGGTTGTTACAGAATTTGAATCTCACACTGCCCAAAAAGCTTAATTTTTAAGAGTAATTCTACTTAAGTTACCTTATAAAAAGTAGGTAACCTAATTTCTCTCTCTTTTTTTTTTTTGAGACAAGAGTCTCACTGTGTTTCCCGGGCTAGAGTGCTGTGGCATCAGCCTAGCTCACAGCAACCTCAAACTCCTGGGCTGTAGTGATCCTCCTGCCTCAGCCTCCCGAGTGCCTGGGATTACAGGCATGCGCCACCATGCCTGGCTGATTTTTTCTATATATTTTTAGTTGTCCAGCTAATTTCTTTCTATTTTTAGTAGAGACGGGGTCTCGCCCTTGCTCAGGCTGGTCTCGAACTCCTGAGGTCAAACGATCCCCCCGCCTCGGCCTCCCAGAGTGCTAGAATTACAGGCGTGAGCCACCGCGTCCGGCCAGTAACCTAATTTTGATTTTAAAAATGAACTGAGCAATTTACATATCAAGCACTCTGCTTGTTCTTTTAAATATATATTCAATTCACTAAACTCTTACAACCCAGAGAAGCACTGTTCCCAATTTACAAATGAGGTAACTGCAGCTCAAAGAGCCTGAGTCACTTTCCTAAGATCATAAAGACTGTACATGTTAGAGATGGAATTTGAATCTAAGTCTTCTGACCAGCAGTTCAAGGTTCCTTCCATCAACCCATCACCAAGCTAAACTGCAGGCAGCAAAAAAACATTTTAAAAAAACTCAACCTCAAAAATTTTGAAACCTTTGTATGAAAAGGATACTATAATCACTTCTTGGCCTTTAGGCTAAGATCAAGTGAAAAGATACTATAGCAAATTATTTACTGAAGCATTTTCCCTAAGTCAAGATAATTAGATGAGGAAGAAAAACATGCCAGTGAGGCATTTCTGTAATGAACAAATTTAATCTTGGGTTTTACCATATACTGAGATTACAGCCAAGATGAGCCACGCAGTCCATTCAGGGAGGTACTTGATAAACACCAGGGCCATGAGGGCACTGATCATAATGAGATATGCCTGCTGGAGTCGAAGTGGACCTTTCCAGTGAATGGAAATCATTCCCACCACACCGAAATTCCAGATCAGGAGCGCAACAGTAATGTAGTCCACAGCAACGTTATAGGTTTTAAACACTTCTCTGAAAAAAATTAAGCAGATTTTAAAAGATTTATGTACAATAATTTTTTTTTTTTTAAGAGATAGGGTCTCACTCTGTCACCCAGGCTGGAGTGCAGTGGCATGATCACAGCTCACTGTAACCTCGATCTCCCAGGCTCAAGCCTGGGTCCTTGGTCTACCCTGGTCTACCAAAGTGCTGGGATTATGGGAGTGAGCCATGGTGTCCAGCCTTATTATATACAATAACTTTCATCAAACATTGTTTAGAATGATGGTTCCCAAACATTAGATATTTATATCCCACATTTATTATTTTACCATATCCCGTATCAACTGTGCTTGATATAGGATAAACATTTCTTTAAATTAATTCCCTCTTTCCCTCAAGTTGAGCTTATTTTAACAGGAAGCTCTATATCATTCGTATAAATGGGAAATCAGTATCACAAGCCATAGCTATAAAGGTAAGTATGAAAACTGAAAATGGCCATATACCACCTAAAATACCATATTATGCTTTGGGAAATACTAGTTTAAAATACCTGAAATTAGAAACAATTAAACATGCATCAAAAAATTTTATAGGTAGGAAATAAATTTTCATACAATGAAGTTTAGCGGTCACTAAAATACATATATATTTTATACACACAAACATGGAGTATAGGCATAACACATTGCTGCTTGAAAAAAATATGATCCTATTTATGTAAAATACTGTGAGAGAAGAGTGGGCAAGAAACTGATACATTAATTCCTGAAAAGATGACAGGACTTGTCTTTAGGTGGTAAGAGTCTGGTCATTTTTCACTTTTCTTTTTTATAATCTTACATGATGCTTTTTTTTTTTTTTGGTTAAAAAAAACAAAAACAATGAACGTCTAGCATTTTTATAATGAAGAAAAATACTATTTTAATTTTGGGGGGAAAAAATCCACCACCTAAAAGGAAAGAGGCTGCAACTACAGAAAATGCCCTAGGTAACCGAGGAGAAAGAAAGCACTCCTTTATTTAAGCATAAACTTTGGGTTACTGGTACCATCCAGGAAGATGATTCTTCTCCCACTTTGAAATCCAAAATAAGGTAAATAATCACATTTCTGGACAATCAGATATTTGTATTAAGCATTTAAGATATCCTAGCATTCAAAAAATACTTATTAATCTTTGCCTAGGCAATACATCATAAGATATAAAATTCACAATAGATACTGTGAAAAGTTTTCCTCCCCATTGTGTCCCACAGTTACCCTTTACTAGAGGAAAGCACTATTACTGATTTCATGTGTATCCTTCCAGAGAGAGTTTATAACACATCATAGACACAAATGATAGCATACTATATACAAATATAGCATACCATATTCTGTACCGGGTTTTTTTCTCTTACTAATACAATGAAGAATTTTCTACATCAGTATCCAGTATATCAGAGCTGCCCCATTCTTTTTAATGGCTATTTTAGTTTTTTTAGGTACAGAGTCTCACTATGTTGCCCAGGCTGGATTCAAACTGCTGGGTTCAAGCAATCCTCCCACCTGAGCCTTCTGAACAGTAGGGACTATAGGTGTGCACCACCACACCCAGCTTATAATGACTTTCTTTATGGATGTACCATAATTTATTTAACCAATTTTCTATTGATGGTATTTAGACCGATTCTATTCTTTTGCTATTAGAAACAATACTGCAATGATTATCCCTGTAATTTACTAGGTTCAGGACATATGCATTTAATATTTTAATGGATTTGTCAAACTGGTCTTAATAAAAAGTTAGATATCAACATGTACGCATTTATTTCCCTGCATCTTTGCCAGCATATTATCAAACTATTTGATCTTTGTTAACTTAATATATAGCTTTAATTATTATAGTATTAATCTTATGAGAAGGATATATGTGTTTTCTTTTTTTGAGACAGGGTCTTTCCTTGTCACTCAGGCTAGAGAGTGCAGTGGTGTCATCATAGTTCACTGCAACCACCAACTCCTGAGCTGAAGTTATCCTCCTGCCTCAGCCTCCCCAGTAGCTGGGACTACAGGCGTGTTTCACTACACCTAGCTAATTTTTCCTTATTTTATATTTTTTAATAGAGAGGGGGTTTCGCTCTTGCTTAAGCTGGTCTTGAACTCCTAGCCTCAAGCAATCCTCCTGTTTTGGCCTCCCAAAGTGCTAGCACCTGGCCCATTCTTAAATGTTCTTATTTAAGAATAATTTGTGTTTCTCTGTTAACTATAACTTTCTGTTATATCCTTTGTCCATTTTTTGGTTAGGTTGTTGATCTTATTTTCATGCAGAGGTTCTTTACATATAAAGTAAATTAGTCTTTGTCTATGAAATGAGTAGAAGATATGTTTAGTGGTTTGTCATTCATTCTTTGATTTTGTTCATGGTGTGGTTTTTTGGTTTGTTCTTTGTTTTTCAGAAATTTTTTTAATGGAGATGAATTTATTAATCTTTTCTTTTATGTGCCCAGGGTTTGTATCATACTTAAAAGGTCCTTCCTTACTGTAATATTATATATATGTTATAATATTCCCTCTTCCCCATATTTTCCTCTAGTTAATAGTTCTACTTTCATATTTAGATCTTTAATCCACTTGGAACTTACCCCAGTATAGATATAAGGAAGGAATACAAATTTTTTCCCCCAAATGACTACCCAATTATCCTAACATCAAACATTACTAAATAATCCATCTATAATCTACTGATACTAAATTTAATTTACGATAAACTAAATTCTGTCATATATTTGAGCATTTTTCTAGAATTTCTAATCCTTTTTGTAGGTCTCACTATTTTAATTATTGTAGCTTTATAATTTCATATCAGGTAGGCCTAGTATTCCTTCATTTCTTTTTGTGGATACTCTCATTTATTTTTCCAAATAAACTTTAGAATCTTCTTATCTAGATTCAAAATAACAATTGGGCTTATATTAAGTATTAGAATAGCCAGGGGTAGTGGCTCATGCCTATAATCCCACACTTTGGGAGGCTGAGGCAGGAGGATCGCTTGAGGCCAGGAGTTTGAGACCAGCCTGAGCAACACAGAGAGACCCTGCCTCTACAAAAAATAGAAAAATTAGCTGGGCATGGTGGCGCGTGCCTGTAATCCCAGCTACTTGGGAGGCTGAGGCAGGAGGATCTCCTGAGCCCAAGAGTTTGAAGTTGTAGTGAGCTATGATGACACCACTGCACTTTATTCTAGCCAGGTGACAGAGCGAGACTCTGTCTCAAAAAACAAACAAACAAACAAACAAACAAAAACAAAATTTAAGATCTCTTGGGAGTATACCTATAAATAAAAAGTGTTTTCTCTATAGTATATAGTGAGAGCAAAAGATACATTTGTCATTAAAAAAAACCCTGCACTATTTATATGAGAAAAGATTCATATCCATATTATATTATGGATAATATAAATTGATAAT